GGAAGACAACAAGACACTGAACTGTCTTATAAATCTTACACTAAACAGAAGTTTGCGTGGGAATTTGTGAAATGTTTTTCGATCACTCATTAATCTATGGACATATTTCCCACATCTCAGAACAGAAAGTTAAATCTGGTTCCCAAGACGGCAAACGAATAGCCCAATTCCGAATTACCCTTGGCCTCTTTTTCAAAACGAGGCCTGGTGCTCAACTGTTCTTGTGAAAATGAATTTAATTTGCATGTGAATGAAAACTTGTTATCATATGAAAGAATGAGCACCAGGACTCATTTTAAAAATCAGGCCTAGGGTAATTCGGAAATGGCCTATTGACCCTAAGCCTCACTAGCTCATTCACAAAAGTCCTGCAAGGGGTTTTTGATTTTTTCCAACCGTTTTTCAGTCACTAATCCAGAATGAGCTAAAGCATTACTTCGGTTTCCAAAACCACACATAAACCGCCAAGTAACAATCTCTGGTCAAGCCTTTTTCGGAAGAATGGCCAAAGTGCGAGCATGATACTCTTTTGCCTGACTTAGTTCGCCCAGGTTGCGTTGCACATGTCCCAGGCTCTAACACGTGCTTGCAACATCAATATATCCGGGTTCGAGTTTATCCAGACGAATCGCAAGTGCGCGATCATGATACTCTTTTGCCCAACTCGGTTCGTCCAGGTTGTGGTGCACACTCTCCAGGTATTACTAGATTTTTACGACATCGATCTGCTCAGGTCCAAGTTTTATTCAGAAGAATGGCCTGTGCCCGATCATAAAACTCTTTTCCCTTACTTAGCTCACCTAGGTCAAGGTGAACATTTCCCAAGTTGTTGTAAGTTTTTGAGACATCAAGATGCTCAGGTCAGAGTTTTTTCAGAAGAATGGCCATTGCGCGATCACAAAACTCTTTTGCCTGACTCAGTTCACCATGGGTGCAGTGCATATTTCCCAAGTATTCGTACGCATTTGCGACATCGACATTATCAGGTCCGAGTTTTTTCAGAAGAATTGCCACTGCGCGATCATAAAACTCTTTCGCGTTACTCAGTTCACCCAGGCAAAGGTGAACATTTCCCATATTTTTGTAAGTTTTTGCGACATCAACATGATCAGGTCCGAGTTTTTTCAGAAGAATGGCCAGTGCGCGACCATAAAACTCCTTTGCCTGACTCAGTTCACCCAGTTTGAGATGCACATTACCCAGGTTTTGGTACGTGCTTGCGACATCGACATGCTCAGGTCCAAGTTTTTTCAGACGAAAGGCCAGTGCGCGATCGTTAAAATCTTTTGCCTGACTCAGTTCACCCAAGTTGAGGTGCACATTTCCCAGGTGATTGTACATTCGAGCGATATCAACATGCTCAGGTCCAAGTTTTTTCAGACGAATGGCCAGTGCGCGATCATGAAACTCTTTTGCCTGA